AGCGGAGTCTGTAACCTGAAGTGTATGTAACCTGAAGCGTATGTAACCCGAGGCACCACTGTATATACAGCTGACATAGCTTCTGGGCAAGAAACCGTTTGACACAGCAGCAGTTGACAAGGCAGAGTCTGGCTTCCTCATCATGAGCATCCCTGCTGCTTACCAGGAGGTAAGGTGGGAGGGGCAGGGAGGTCAGTGTGGTATGGGGATGGTGGCAGGAGGGTCGGGTCCCCTCTGCCGCTGTGCTTGCACTGCACTGAGCTCCCTGTACATCTCCCCTCTCCCTCTTACCATATAACTCCGGTCTTTAATGACCTACATTGGCTCCCAGTACGTTTCCGAGCACAATTCAAAGTGTTGGTGCTGACCTTTAAAGCCTAAACGGCCTCGGTCCAGCATATCTGAAGGAGCGTCTCCACCCCCATTGTTCTACCCGGACACTGAGGTCTAGCACCGAGGGCCTTCTGGCTGTTCCCTCACTGCAAGAAGCCAAGTTACAGGGAACCAGGCAGAGGGCCTTCTCGGTAGTGGCACCCGCCCTGTGGAACGCCCTCCCGCCAGATGTCAAAGAGAACAACAACTACCAGACTTTTAGAAGACATCTGAAGGCAGCCCTGTTTAGGGAAGCTTTTAATGTTTGATGTATTACAGTATTTTAATATTTTTTTGGAAGCCGCCCAGAGTGGCTGGGGAAGCCCAGCCAGATGGGCGGGGTATAAATAATAAATTATTATTATTATAGAAAGTGTCTATGACACCACCCAACTCCCTGCTGCTGGTCAAACACGGAAATAATAACTAGAAAATTATTATTATTATTATTCAGTATATCTGTGATAGGTTAAAAATATTTTTAAAAGTATAAATCTGCAGGAATATATTTTTCTTTTCATGCCAAAGCATTCAGCCACACAATCTTCCACATGTTATCTGAAGTGGCACAGTCCCCAAACAAGTTTAAAACCTCACTTGCTGTTTGTGTTAATTCTACTTACATATAGCGTTCTGCAAGACGTTCTGATGTTTAGATTGTTGCGTTCAAGATGCAATGAGAATACAGTATGGAGACAGACATGGTTGGGCATGCGTTAAGTGGTCGATATGTAAATGTTGACAGATATTCCAAAACGATGAATTATAAATCTCATAAAAAAGAATTATCACATCCTAGAGAATTAATCCAGTTTTAAATGCTCTCGTTCTATTGATCTCATTTGAGCTCCACATGTTCCTTGAGAATTAAGAGCTAAAGGAAGAGTGTTGTGAATGGACTTTTTCATCTCATGTGCCATCAGCAGCAATTTTGCCAAGGCTAGGGATAGGGGCGGGTGTGTGTGTGTGTGTGTGTGTGTGTAAATGTGGTTGTTGGCACAAAAGGTGAACCTAGCTAATTCACACTTTCTAAAACAACAGATGAACTAAAACTCAGCCATCCTCCTAAATTCGCACATGTCTGTATTTTGCAACACAGTTCTCCCACCAAGTAATGTGTACAAAAATGCATATTACTAGTGTAAAGTGTGCATTAAATGGCTATATTACTGAAAGGTATGATATAAAAAAGCTTTATAAAGGGGAACTTGCTTTACAAAAATGTGTTTATTAGGTTAAAGCACATACAAACATGTGTATACATGTATTGGGATAAATTTGCTGAAGACTTTTAATGACATAGAAATGAATTTAAAATTGGGGGGAAATGGAGAGAAACCAAAACTGAGAAAGTCACCCATCCCTAGAGAAGGCCCACAACTCCAAAGGCTCAAACTTTGACATGAGTAACATTTGGATTCTATAACATGTATAATGCCATGAGTCACCATACTTTAAAAACTGGTGATAAATGTACAAATTAACTTTTAACATGACAGGTTCAAAGTGGCGCTCACTTGGCTGGGAAACAAAAAAGATATTCTCACTTGCAAATTTGCTCAATTTACTTAAGAAACATTAGATACAATAAATAGAGAGAGGTGCAGTGTCAATTACTAAAGAGTTATCTGGAGTTGAGCTTAACTTAAAGCAATTCAGATTATTTTTAAAACCTGAGTAGGAGTGAAGAAGCAACTCGTTTGACTAATATAAAATCATGTGGTAAAGTAGAAGGGGGACTATTCTTCTCGGAAATTGACTCCCCCCCCCATTATTTTATGTGGAGAAAAACCCTTCCACTTTTTTCCAGATCCCTTCACTTCCAAGGGCCGCTTTGTATGGTATGTTGAAGTTGTGAGCTGCAGTCACATGAACCAATGCAAACCTCTGCATTTGACAGCTTTCCCTCACGTTGTTCTGCTGTCATAATTAATTGCAAAGTTATCCCTGTACTGGCTGTAGGTAGTTGCGTCCCAGAGAGGCATTTGTGAATGGTCTTGAAGATATTGCCATTTGATCACAGTAATGGGCAAATCCAAGATGCTGGCAAATTCCAGTCCTGAGAACTTTAATGCATCTTAGACAAAATTGCAGCAAACTTACCTTCTTAAAGTGAAACAATCTATTTTTTCCTTTCTTTGAACCTCCTGCACCCACATATTGCAGCTTCCCATTGTTAGCAAGAAGGCTTGTTTTTATGCCTCTGTATATTCCTGACGCGGGTGGCGCTGTGGGTTAAACCACAGAGCCTAGGACTTGCCGATCAGAAGGTTGGCGGCTTGAATCGCTGCAACGGGGTGAGCTCCCATTGCTTGGTCCCTGCTCCCGCCAACCTAACAGTTCGAAAGCACGTCAAAGTGCAAGTAGATAAATAGGTACCGCTCCGGTGGGAAGGTAAACGGCGTTTCCGTGCGCTGCTCTGATTTGCCAGAAGCGGCTTAGTCATGCTAGCCACATGACCCAGAAGCTGTACGCCGGCTCGCTCGGCCTGTAAAGCGAGATGAGCGGCGCAACCCCAGAGTCAGCCACGACTGGACCTAATGGTCAGGGGTCCCTTTACCTTTACCTTATATTCCTGACTTCCAGGAATTTGCACATTCCTGCTTTCAGTCTATGAATATTGCTTACTATTACGAAATCCCATGGCTGGCTGTTTCGAAGATCTGCTGTCATATCTCTAAGAGAAGGCATGAACAAAAAGGGCATGTTGAAAACTCGCTCCCAGTGGTCAGATTCTGGGCTCCTGTACTGAGGAGGGAAAAGGAAGTTAAAGCAACAAGTTCTTACCATTGTATCGGGGACTTTTTGAGCGTCAACAGCTTACATCTTTTCAGGGGAAGTATTGGGAATCACTTTGAATGGGAGGCCATTGAGAGGATAAAATGGGCAAAACCCCTGTCAATTAAGGGCAGTGGCAAGAGGGCAAAATTGGGGAGAGGAGTTGGGGAAAGTCACTAGCATCACGTGTATGCCAATCACTTGATGACTGTAACATCAAATGACAATGTGTGCATATGTCTTAGCAGATCAAATACTTTGCTGGGTCAGACCAAGGGGCTGTCTGAACCCTCCTCAATCTGGTGCCCTTCCTATATTTTGGACTACAGCCCCCATGGCTGCGGCTGATGGGATTTGTAGTCCAAAACATGTGGGAAGGGTGGTTGATCTAATTACCTGGTGTGGTCTGCTCTGATTGGCAGGGCTGTTCCTGGGTTTCAGACCCTGTCACCAAAGGCTCATTAGGTGTAAATGTGGGAAATCAAACTTGAGACTATGAAAAACATATGCTCTTGTACAGAGGTACAGACCCTCTGCAGCTCACCTAAGAATCATTGAGTGGTGAGAGGTGCAATCAGCCCTAAAAATTACACAGGTAAAGGTAAAGGTAAAGGGTCCCCTGATCGTTAGGTCCAGTCGTGGCCGACTCTGGGGTTGCAGCGCTCATCTCGCTTTATTGGCCGAGGGAGCTGGCATACAGCTTCCAGGTCATGTGGCCAGCATGACTAAGCCGCTTCTGGCAAATCAAAGCAGTGCACGGAAACGCTGCTTACCTTCCCGCCAGAGCGGTACCTATTTATCTACTTGCACTGGTGTGCTTTCGAACTGCTAGGTTGGTAGGAGCTGGGACAGAGCAATGGGAGCTCACCCCATTGTGGGGATTCGAACTGCTGACCTTCTGATCGGCAAGCCCTAGGCTCTGTGGTTTAACCCACAGTGCCACCCGCGTTCCCTAAAAATTACACAAGAGAGTATAAATTGTCTTCCTGTAATATGTCTGTCATTCTCTTTGTGGCAGAATCATATATAGGTGATCTGTTCAGTATGGAAATCCCTGATGTAACAGGGCACCAGGCCTTTAGCTGTGTATTCCCCATTTCCATGTACATAAGGCAGGCACCAAATCTGATTATATTCTGGTCCGTGCTAAGAACATTCTTTTTTACCTGAGACTTATCTCATTTAAGGCCCACCTGTACTCCCCCCATACATTCTTCTTGAAGTCCATATATGTTGCTGTAATTGTGATTCATGATTTGCATTTTAACTTATTACCTATTTTGTGTGCAGAGTTTACTATACACTGTTTATATGCATCAGTTTAAAGCGGTATATTAATCCATTGCTCTTCAGTTGACTTTTGTACTGTTCTTCAGGGTCGCTGCTCAGAGGCAGCTTCTGTCCACTTCAGTTGCTAAGTTCTAGACAGCCTTGGTGATTGATGATCTGACTTTTGTGGGAGTTATGCTGAAAATACAAACAAATAAATGCCAACGAGAAATGAGAGGTGATCGCTGCTATATAGACCAGACTGGGGGCAACTGCTCTTGTGTCTTGTGTTGTTTTCAGCTGTAACATGCAAATGGAAGATTTATAATACCAGTGATTTTTATTGCCTGGTTATGATGACTGGAATGGTGGATATGCATGGTAGAAAAATGGCCCATTTGTTTTGACTCCAAGGAGTTACCTGCTCTGGAGGGTTCCTCCTCAACAAACTTGTCCTTCAGATCTTATGCTAAAGCTTCACCTCCTCCCATTATTGAAAACACCGATCCATTTACATCTCCATCCACATCCTAGGTTGACCCTACTTATTCCTCATGTTTATTTATGTTCTTTTTCTGCAGGAGAAAATATAAGAAAACGTCACAGAGGTAGGTATCGATCGCAGAAGAACTCGAAGGCATTTGGCAGCGGGGGGAGTCGGCAGAAATTATTTGTTGTTGTTTTAGTATTGGTCTTAGTATTGGTCAACTTCTGCATGTACCAAGAACAGGCAAAGTAAACCCATGGATAGAATGCATCCCACTAGAGCTTTCGTGCCCCTGATCTTCTACTGCAACTCACCCATGGCTTGGTTGTTACAAAAGCATTAAGAGCTCCTTCAAGGTCTTGTGCTCCCAACTTCTGCATGATCCAAACTGGTATTGGCTGGTTGGGAGTAGATCTGTATTGATTAAACAAACCCCTTAGGGATTCAACGGGACCTCTGGTTAAATAAGAAATGTAGCATTTGACATGTATGTTGGGACCTTAATAAACCAATACCCACTTTCTTTGGAGAAATCTGCCTGCTTTATCTTTTATTGTGCTATAAAACAGACATCAGCTGTGACCTTGTAATTATCAGGTGACTCTGCTTTATATAAGGAAATACTTGAAATCATGCCATGCCGTAATGATGCAGCCTAATATTATGTATTGCTACACGCCACCCCTATCTCTGAGCGGTGCAGGATTCCAAGGGTATAGGCACTTTCCCAGAGTTTGTGTTTCCTTTGGAAATGAGGCACAACACAGACTGTGGTGTCTTTATTATATATGGTTTATTCACACATATATACAACCTGAGACTATGATGAAGGGGCTCACACCACTACTCTCCAAGAGATTCTTGCTTCTCCCATGCCAGCAGAAATCAGCCATGGTCTACTGTTCCTTTGTCTAGCTTCATGCATTTAACAGACTGCCACATCTACCAGGAGTTATGGGGAATCTGGCACCCCCAAACCCTGGCACCCACAACTCATAACGTTATTACCACTCAGAAGTCGGCCCCACCAAGTCCAACAGGACTTGCTCCCCTAAGTATAGATAAGATTACAGTTATTGTCGGCCTGTGCACATTTTCTTGGGAGTAAATCCTCTTAACCCCAGTGGGATAGGACTTAAGGAAACATTCTGAGTAAACACGTAAAAAGGAGGCTGATAGTTGTCTTCCTGTAACTTTGCCAGGGGAATCCTAAAAAGAGGCCTGGTTGATTTTGATCTTGACTTTGTTCTTTCCGACGCTTCCTTATGATTTGCTTTTAAATATTATGAATTTGAACTGACAACAGTAAATTTAGTGCTAAGTGGCTCACTCTTTGCTCTCTCTCTCTCTCTCTCTCTCTCTCTTCTTGCCCCCTCCCCAATAACAATGGGAAAAGGTGGATCCAAACTATCATGTTTTTCACAGCGTCACTGAAATTTCATGTGGCTGCCTAACCTTTTAAAATGTTGGTTGAAAGTTGGGTATGCTAATGGCAACTTTCCTTACCAATGGAGATGTTATCTGAATCTTCCTCCGAGGTTCAGATCATTCCTGTTAGTTGCTGACAACTGCCAGTTCTCATTAGGATCTCCGGGATCTGAAGGAATTTGGCACATGGAAGAGATAGAACCTCAAAGACTCTACTTAGGACTTATCCAGACTTCCTTTTGTTCCGCTACTTTTCCCCAGGGAAAACCTCTTTTTAGCATTCATTCTGAGCAAAACAGTAGTTCAGGTTTTCTCTGCACTGACGTTTTCTCGGATTTAGAGCTAAAGAGTGGGTTTTCCCTGGGCAAGGGGTGGGACAAGGGGGGGGACTATTCAGAGCTATGCCTAGAAAGTGTGGGTCACTGAGTGGCAGAAAACCACTCAGACCCATGTTTTCTAGGAACGGGACAAGCAGAAGTGTGAACAAGCCGTGAGTGTGTTATTCTACGTGGCTTGTAGGCTGCTCTGGCGAGTCTTTTATGGCTTGGGGATCTTTTATGGCTTGAGGATCTGTTTGCTGAACTGCAGAGCAGAAGAACTAGTCCTTCTGTAATAAACTGGGCCTCCATTTCTCACTTCAGTGTACTGATTATATACCTTTATGCAACATAATGTTGACCCCCCTTTCAGGTTGTAAGCGTCTATATTTTAGGAACTGCCCAATTATCTTAATTGTAACTGTTGTAAGTATTGTATTTTAAAACTGGTTTTGCCCACCCTGGAAAGGAAATCTCCTCCTCCTCCTCCTCTTCTTCTTCTTTAATGAAGTCATATTGCAGTAAAAGATCCACAATTTTGCAAAGATTTGGGATGTTGTATAAAAACATTTGGTGAACTGTAATGTTAAATGCGTGAAATGTTTCTATCTCCTTCTTATGGGTAAAATGTGGAGCAAACTTTCTACACGTTTTGTTTGAAATTTGTCTGGACTGTTTGGGGTCAAATAGAATTGCACTGGGGTTGGATTCTGCCTATATGCTAGCAATTGACCACCTCTGGTTTAGGCCTATGCAAACAAAGAAGGTTTGAAGAAGGCTTTGGAGTGAGTGAGTGGTGAGGTCCTATTCTGTCCTGCAATTAGCACTTTAATGAGCAATATCATGTGCTCCTGCTGTGTCAACTTAATGCCTTTGAAAACAACTGCAGGCTGATAATGTTTTCATCATAAACATGGACATTTCACAGCTCTCTAGGCAAAACCCCACTTCATTAGCCTCAAGTTCAGAAGGGCACTTGATCAGCAAGCTATGATGCCAAGCAATCACTGCAACGCCAAGAAACACAGTGTGTTTAATTAGGATTGCTCATTTTTCACATCCAGGTTGCTTTGGTTAAGAGAAGGCTAGCCAGCTATTTAGATAATTAGTACTTTGAGGTTTACTTTACAGAGTTGCGTGTTTACTGGAGAGGGGGGGGGGTGGAATTATCAGAACTGTCTGGTGTCAACCTGTCTGGCATAATTCTGTTCCATTCATGGGGAATCTGAACATTTATGAAAATATGTTCATTCTACAGAGTGCTCTTTCTAAATTAACATCAAGTACCTGGCAAGGCTGACCGGGCAAAAAGCTGGTTTAATGACCCTCTGATGAGTACACAGAAATCACTGGTGCTGCTTAGGAGCACCAAGTACATACCGTATTTTTCGCCCCATAGGACGCACTGGCCCATAGGACGCACCTAGCTTTTTGGGGGGGGGGGGAATAAAGAAAAAAAAATATTTTCCCCCATGTGCGTGGCTGGGGCGGGGGAAGCCTGAGCTTCCCCCGACCCCAGCCCCCAGAACAGGCTGCTATCCGCTCTCCCACAGCTAGTGGAGCGCTGCGTGAAGCCCGAAGCTTGAGGAGTGCTGAGCTCAGCGCGCCCCAAGCTTCTGGGTGCCGGCAAGCTCTCCGCTAGCCGTGGGAGAGCTGCGTCTCCCACGGCTAGCGGATAGCTTCCTGAAGCCTGGAGAGCGAGAGCGGGTCTGTGCGCACCGACCCCCCTCGCTCTCCAGGCTTCAGAGAAAGCCTGCATTCGCCCCATAGGATGCACACACATTTCCCCTTCATTTTCAGAGGGGGAAAGTGCGTCCTATAGGGCGAAAAATACGGTAGATGTTCACTTTTCACTTTTCTTGCGAGGAATCCTATTCGGAATAAGGGAATTTCCCTTTAAAAAGATGGGAAACGTTGACAGCTATGACCAAGTACCTTGAAGTCATTTGCATGCATAGTCTTGTGAAATTGATCTCAGAATATAAATTTGCAAAAGGCTTAGGTGCTACTTTGTTTGTACAGCTTGCAAAACAAGAGGTGTTAGGCATATGTCATGACTGTCAGTAGTATTTGGAGAAGAGTGGGGGGGGGGAGTTTATATCATATCAGAAATACATTAGCATCCAATATTATGCCCCATTTAAAAATAGTCTCAGTTTATTGTTCCTTAACTTTAGCTTAATTTCCTTTTCACTTCTTATTTATTGACCTTGCAGAGTTATCTTGATTATCTAATTCTTTAAACTCCCCCAAGTAATTATAATGCTGCTCAGTTCAAATGAAGCAATTCTGGGTGCGTGTTTCCCCCCCCCCCCAAAAAAAAAACTTTATCTAGTAAGACAACTGAACAGCAGTATGCTATGTGAAAAGACTTGCCACCGTACTGAATGATCACTTTGATTTGAATTAAGATATGGTCGGATTAAAATGTTGTAAATAAATGAATGTATTAATTATGAACAGGAAAACCTGTATCTATTTCAAAACAATTCTTCTGCAAGAAACTGCAGTCTTTGGAGTCGAGCTGTGTCCTATGCAAGCGTAAACAGAAATTAGCCATATTTTGAGCAAGCAAACACAGATCTCTGTGTTCTTCAGACCCTAAACAGATATGTGGGCATTTTTTCTCTACACTAGGTCAGTATTTATCAGCCAGAGCCAAGCAATCATAAAGGGGACCCTTCAGTGTGGGAGCCAGTGTGGTGCAGTGGTTAAGAGCGGTAGACTCATAATCTGGTGAACCGGGTTCGCTTCCCGTTCCTCCATATGCAGCTCCTGGGTGACCTTGGGCTAGTCACACTTCTCTGAAGTCTCTCAGCCTCACTCACCTCACAGAGTGTTTGTTGTGGGGGAGGAACGGAAAAGGAGATTGTTAGTCGCTTTGAGACTCCTTCAGGTAGTGATAAAGCGGGATATCAAATCCAAACTCCTCCTCCTCCTCCTCCTCCTCTTCTTCTTCTTCTTCTTCTTCTTCTTCTTCTTCTTCTTCCCCCCAACCCCCTCGGCAGCCATGGCAGTGGCCTCGTAGATAGGCCCCACCCCCTTTGCTCCTCCATTCACCCACATGATGGGGGACCAAGCGAATGAGGATCAGAGAAATGGTGAAAACCCTTCTTAGGGGCATTTAGGTGTCCCTCATCTTGTTCTCATAAAAACAGGAAGTGACGCCATATTGAATGGAGGAGGAAGGGAGCGGGAGGCATAGATCTAAGAAATGTGTTAAAGGAATGCATGGAACCGAACTTCCAGTAGCACGTTGAAACGCTGTGCTGAAGGGAAGACCTCTTGGAAATTTGGGACGACTCTGTGTTAAGAAGTGGAAAGCCATGATGGCTTAAGGGCTTTCAAGACCATCTCTGTATTTTCGGGACAGTTG